TCAGAGTTCTATTTGATCCCAGTTTATTCTTGGTAAAATTACCATTTATGGAATTGGTAATTCTATCGAGAAATCTTGGTAAAATCATTGAACTTTCTTGGTAATTTTACTGGACCTTGGTAAAAACGCCAATATTTTTTATCGACTGTGGTAGAATTACCGAGATAAAATGGCAAAGTTACCAGGAATTGATTACCAATGAAAGTGGTATTCTTACCTGAAAAAAAAACAGTAAAAATGCCGGTTTTTAGGTAAGCTTACCAGTCTGTCTTGGTAAAATTACCAATAATTGGTAAAAAAGTGAGATGGTAAAGGTACCAACGGACCTTGGTAAAAACGCCGAGAATTTTTTTTCAGTGCGGAGTTATGAGCTTTAAAGTTTCCAAATTTTGTCCGACCTCTCTTATTGACTCGATCCACCACGCGCCGAGCTTTCCAGTGGATTTTTTGCACGTTGGCAACCGTGCGATTTGCGCGGGAGGGTCGGGGTCGCGACAAAGAAAGGAAAAAATGTGAAAAGCACCCGCCGACTGTGGAGGAGGACCATTCAAACGCACTCCCTCTCCAGAATCTGCATCATTTCATAAATATATAGTGCATATCCGTTAGCAGATTACTGGTCCCGACCTCCCACCCCCTCCTCGTCCCCTTCTTGCTCTCTGTCGAGATTTTTTATACTCCTATATCCTATGCACATCCACCTTGGGTCCTGGCAAGTTGGGAATTGGACGACTCCCGCCGGAACATTCCTGGAATTTGATTTCGCTCCCGTCTTGCCCGAGTTCCGTCGAAATATTTCACTCATTTTCTCCTCGAAATTTGCGGCATGTTCGCCTCAAATCTCAAGGGTGGAATTGCAACGTTGACAGACGCTATCAATTTAGGCTAGGTCAGGGGGTTGGTTTTACTGAGGGAAAATCAGAACATCAGGAGGAACATAAGAGCCTGTTGAAAACTTGTCTTTTTTTCGAAAACTCCTGGAATCCATTAATTCAACCTTTTATGTATTGAGAAAAGCTTTTATGCTTTAATTAATAGATTAAATTCAAATCTGATTGTTCTTTCAGAAGCTTTACAACTTTACTTTCAATATCAAATTGACTCGTGTTTATAAGTATAGACAACTAACATTCCATAATGTTCAGCAATATAAATTTTGCAAAATTGTTCCATCAAAACCTGCTGTCAATTTATGGTAGAACTTTTACCAATGGCTTGTCTCATCATAAGCTCCATGTCGATTTAATTCTCTGAATTCCAGACAAGGGACCGTAAAATGTCCTCTTTTCTAGAGGCTCTTTCTGATCCCCGTTATTTGCCAAAGGTAGAATTTCAGCCAGTTTCATCTCAGGGTCTTATGATCACTAGTTGACTACATTTCGCAATAAATGGTCCCTATACCTGACTCATCCATAGACAGGTCTCGATTTATAATTGGACGTATTTCTATCAAACGGACCTAAGCGCCATAGGGTGAGGAAGGTAGAGGGGGGCTTGAATTGACGGCGGAATCGGGCGTCCGGCTTATTCCGTCCTATACTCGCAATGCTTTTCCATGGCGCTTAGGTCCGTTTGACAGAACGCGCTATCCAGGATTCAAAATTCCTCAAAAGGAACTCAAATTGGCGCTTAGTTCCGTTTGATAGAAACACGTCCAATTCCAATTCATTCTTACGGCACTCAAATTACGAGCACACCCCTTCTTCCCAACGTGTCTCTGGTTCCGTTTGGCAGAAATACGTTCAACTACCTATACTTTGCGGCCTTTGCCTTTTGAACTCTCTATCGAACGAATAGGTAAAATTTAACATTAGACAATAATACAACCACACGAATCAGTTTCGTCAAGGACACGATCAAAAATTTCGTCAGTATTTACCTTTATTGGTTTATTCATGAGAAATGGCTGGGAAGACGCCATTAGCGGATGGAATCGGGTGAAATGTGGTGACGCCGATTGAAAACGTGCATCGGGGCAGGGGACCGATTTGCATGACACTTGGCAGGTTCTCGACAAAACACGCTCGAGCGAGCCCTGCTTAAATGTTTACTCTCCCCCGGTACATTTATGAACCCGGGGTTTCTGCTACGTTTCGACGACAACGCGACGCGACGGATAGATTCGCTCATATTTGTGCACGCGCGGGCACACTTTCGCGCGTTTGATTGCTTTTCGAGCCCCGTTCCAACCGTGGTCGCCTCCGAAAGGGTGTGAATGAAATCCCTTGTGACACCTTTTAAAATGCTTCCAGCACTTGTTGCGTACTTTAAAATCCTCGTTAACTTCTAATATTTTAATCTTGGACTATACAGGGTGATCCAAAAATTACGCACCACTAGCACTCTGCCGCGCTGCACTGGAAAAAAAAAACAGTGGATCTAGAGTCCAGACTCTTAAAAACATCGACAGGAAAAAGTACTCTTGATTCAATCAGAATCTAGCTTAAATCAAGAACCAAGCCTCCTAATTTAAGCGGATTTCGTTTTGATTCAAGCAAAAATCCGATTGAATCAAGAGTATTTTTTCTTGTCAATGTTTTCAAGAGTCTGGACTATAGATCCAATGTGGTTTTTTTTCCAAAGAGGAAGAACACCGTATGAGCCATTAGGTGTTGCCCAATTTCCCTCGACAAATCACGAATTCTCAGGAAAATGTGTTACTAAGTCTCCTTCAACTTTTCAGTGGATTTTGCTCGTAATTTGATCTAGAATGTCTGAAAATTTCAAGGAAAAATATTCAAAACTTTATCCGAAAATAATTATTCCTTGAGAAGAAGTTTGGCAAAATTCAAATGTCCACACGTCGTTTTTACTTGGCGCGGTAGAGCACCAGTCATCACTGCACTCCTTCAACTTTTGAGCAAGGTGAGATCCGGACTTGAGATTTGGTGAGAGCTCTGAGGACAAAGGATTCGCCTTTTTGGATCCCCCTAAATTTTAAAGGGATTATCCTGATATGGTGCAAGAACCCCAGGGGTTAAAACACTGGAAAAAGGTTAGACCTATACAGACATACCATCCGCCCCGGGCTAAGAAGCCGGAAGTTCCGGGTGCTAGAGCTGTAGCTTCGACTGCTCTGGGTGCTGCACCCGGAATTTTCGGCCTCTGTACCCGGAAAGCGGGCGGTATGTCTATACAACCCGTAAGTACGGTTTCCATAGCCGCAGTTTTTTTTTTTTTGAGTGAAGGGTGGTGTGGGACTTTCGAATCGCCCTGTACGTCTCATAGTTCCCTTCCTGCGGAAAGCGACGTATTTTTGTCCTTATATACCTTTGTTTTGGAAGTTGATTTTGTATTCAGATCTCATCTTTATTGGTCCATGTACCCAAGATCGTTAATAATAAAAAAAGTGTTCACGGTGCATGCATTCCCCCTCTTTTTGGCGCTTCGGAATGCTTTTCTTGAGCCCGGTGTTGTGTCGTCTTTGAAGTGAGTTGCTAGCGTTGTTGTGTGCGTCTTACCCCCTGGACCCGGCTTCTTCGGTGCTGGGGACCGGAACGACGTCGCAAAACGTTCACGTATTTAATCCCGATGGCGGTGGCGGCGGCGGGAGCGAAACAAAAAACCATGCGTTGGCTCGGTTTTTAATAAAACTGTCATCTCTGATATGTTTGCTTTGTATTAATCCCTGGCTTCCCTCGGCATTTATGCCCATGCCCGGCCCGGCCGCTCGAGGTGGCCGACTTTCCCGCGCGCCGCCTGGTGGAAAGTACACAGTTTCAAGCATCCAAAAGTTTGAAACTTTCCATGTGTTCGATTTGTTTTTTACGGAAAATGTGGTTATATTTTAAGTTATGATTGAGTACTTGGTTTAAGGATCGAATGCAGTGGGATATGTTTTTGATATGTCATTGAAAACCGAGAATAGACGGGGCATCTTAGCCTAAAAGTCAGGGAAATCAATGTTCAAAAATAGTGAAAAGCCATAGACGAATCAGGAAATATGAAAATCCATCAGAACTTGCCACTCTGGAGTGGATCTGGACAAGCCATTCATGCAGCAAAAAAAGGACATTTTTTTTTATTTTCATTTAAACTTTTTTTTTGCAATATTGAATTCTTTTTATTCAAGCCCTATTTATTTATTTATTCGAAAGAAAACGAATCCCAAAAAAATACTTTAAAACGTTTTAGAGCAAACCCAACAGGAAAAAGAGCATTTTTAAAGGAAATCCAAAAATAAACATGAGCAGTAGTTTCATTAACTATACTCTATCTAAATTCCCTTACTATTACCGGAGACAATAACGTCACAGATCTAAAGCATTTTTTAAACTCCCAGCATTAATATATTTTTACGACTGAAGCAGAAAACAGAACAAACAACGCGTCACCTCTCTCTCTGTATTTCTCTCCTTTTTCCTGCAGTGGTAATACATTTTTATTTTTCTTTCTGTAACCGTGTCAAGCCAAACTCTAATCAATCCTCCGCGTGAGTCTTTTTTATTTTTGCGTTCAATCCCAAAAAGTTGTCTTTTCGACCCATTGAGCGCCGAAAGTACAAAGGTCATTTAAATTCGGTTTGAAACGTTTGACGCATTCCAGACCTGATATCTGTGAATTGTTTTCCCTTTGATGAAAAATGTAGGAATGCAAATTAAAAGGTTAGCTATTGTGTTGTCAACTCTACTGTCTGTGTGTCACAGGCATTGAGGTTTCCGACCAGTCACATCTTCTAATTAAAGAATCACAGTAAAAAATGAAAGGTAACTACTGAAATCGTTAAATTCATTGTATTCGTATCCACTTCTTTCATAAAGATGAATAATTGTTATCACCAATCAGGATCTTGTCACGTATTCCGTGTGCCAATTTGTTTCCTCCATTTGGTTATATTTCTTGGGCTTCGTTATATTCCAACGATCGTATTTTTTTTATCTTAAGAGCTTGGACGTACAAGCCGATTTTTTCCCTTTTAATGTTAAAGCTCTAAGAAACATTTTATTCTCCTTTAGTCAAGCAACGATAATTAATTGTCTTTCAAATGTTTTTTGTTACAGTGGCACCACAGCGACCTCGCATTGAATACAACGCGAGTCATATTCTGCCAAACCATAACATCACCGTTCGGGCAGGGAACACTGCTGTTGTGAAATGTATCAGTCGGTACGGGAACCCGCCTGCCAAATTAAAATGGTTGCTCGGTAAGATTTTTTCATTATCCTCACCCTCAATAACCCAATAACCTGAGGAAAGCAAGTTAATCATTATTTCGCAAATTTTACCGGAATTTTTTTGAAGCATTTTAAAAATGTACCAAACATTTAATGGAAAACCATCGGTCAGCTTACTCATGAATGGATGAAATAAAATGAGGGGTACATGCCTCTGTGCTGCCACCGTTATGTCAGCACGTGTTAATTTTCCAGAAACAGTAAAGATTTCAGCATAGAGCATCAAAGCATTGCAAGTTCACGCGTCGTCCCATCGCGCCTTCAATTTTGCTGACGCAACATGGACATCCATCAAGTACGAATGGTTGTATCTCTGCGCCGTCATCAACGCGCGTCATTTCCCTCACTCTATTTACATACTGTGTTGGTTTCGTTTGTCTTATGAGTATTTGTAGCAGCTTTTCAAGGGCTACGTCACCAGCATGTGAGAAGGTGGGTTATGAAGCGCCAGTTTGTTTCCAAAAAGGTGAAAATCTCATCAAAAAAAGTATTTATCGCTTTAAAAAATATAGATAAAACATAGATAATACTTCAAAAATTATCAAAATCGATGTATTTAATACGGGTCAATTTAACCCGACTCTAGACTTCGCGAATGAAAAAAGTCTTGGGTATTTCAGGGTAAAATTTAAAACGGGGAAATCCAGGAATTCACATGTGTTACGTGCTTTTTGGAAATGAATTATTTTTTTTTTTTTTTTTTTTTTTTTTTAAACCACAAGAGTCTCATTGATTTTGTCGGATGTTACAGGTGACCAGGAACTGGTTCCCCGAGGGAATCAGACGAACGTGCCTGAAGCGGATAACAACCGGACATGGGTGGCATCCTCGGTGTTGGAGACGAGTGTGGAGAAGATCCAGCACGGACGCATTCTCCGTTGCGTCGCCATTCACGAATCATACCCGGCCAAATCACAGTCCATCGAAGTCCGCCTCGACGTCACATGTAAGTCACTACCACTTTTACTTCAAATCGTCGTCCCTCTGAGGTAAGGGCGTATCTCGATTTCTTCATGAGCCCTAGAAAGCATGGATTTACCCTTACGCCAAGGAGGCGACGAAATATCACCGAAGAGAAAAACCTGTGGCTGCAATTTAGAGTCATTACAGTCATTTAATCCATACGAAACAACCCACCCCAACAGGCTGATCCTTGAAATCGATAGACAAGCGACAGGCCAACAAGACAAAGGGAAAGCGGAATAATGCTCCTATTGGTTGAAACAAGCGGTTGTCTCAGGCTAAGGGGAAAATGATAGACTAACCATTAATAGTTTTTTTCTCGTTTGGTTTGAAACTCTTCCGATTTGGTCAAAAAGCTCGACCAAAGCCATTCGCAAAAATTCGCGAAATGGAGACAAAAGGAAAAAGTAGCGATTCTGTTGATTGCGGTGGGTGCCTGTAGTAAACTAAGGGGGAAAATGCTGGACTAATTGCAGGATAGAGACTCTGGTGTGCTGCCGTTAAGTATAGTCTTTCGCTTTCCTCCTTTGTCAAAGGTAACCATCAGCTTCCACTGATAGGATCTCTCCATTTTCCCATTTTTTTCGTTTTCCATCGCTTTATCTTATCAATCTTAATAATCAGCCCTCGGCCAATTGTATATTGAGACTATCAAACTTGAGAATCGATCATAGAGTCAGCGCTACAAGCAGTACACCACACAGGGGGCCGACAAGGACGTTGGTTCGTGTGACTTTGACTGGCCTGGTCCCGTGGACATGCTGATAGGAGCTGATCTCCTGCCACTGGCGCTGACTGGCGACTCCATCAAGCTGGGTTCCCCGGCCCCCGTCGCCTGGGGTACTCTCTTTGGTTACGTCGTCCTTGGACCCGCACCCCGCCGCACCGCTTCGGAGGATACCGCCGTGAGTCGCAAGGTGCTGCTCACTCGGGAACCGCCGAATCTCTCGAAGCTGTTTGAAGATTTTTGCGCCATTGAAGACGTCGCTCCCGCAGCAAGGCAGGACCCGACCGACGAATACGTGGAAAACTTCTACACCGCTACGACAACACAAGGAGCAGACGGACGATACTGCGTCCGACTTCCATTCAAGCCAGAACACCCGCCGCTGGGAACGTCACTCGCACGAGCTGAAGTTCGTTTTCGAGCCCTGGAACGCCGCTTCGAGAAGGAGCCGGAGTTTCACGCGGCCTACAAGAAGTTTATGCAAGAGTACGAGAACAACGGATTCATGTCTCCTGCCGCCATACCGCCCGCAACCGCACCGCACTACTTCATTCCGCATCACGCAGTTGTGAAGGAGTCTAG